ACGTCACGTCGCTAGAGAAGAGTTGGATCATGCAGTATCTTTTCATGTATTGCCGTATTGGAGTCGTTATGTCGCCGTTACGAGACAATACACTCAGCATGTCTTACTTTGATCATCCCTTTGTGCGTTACTTTGCGCAAGGATTGTTGGTGTCTATATCAACATCGGACCCTTTGTACTTCCACCACTCTACCAGTCCCTTACTGGAGGAGTATGCCACACTGATGAAACTGCATTCACTTTTACCAATGGACGTACGGGAACTGGCACGTAACAGCGTCATCAACAGTAACTTTCCGTTGGAGATGAAACGGAAATGGTTGGGGGATGACTTTCAGCTTATCATGAACCGTGGAAATGACATTCGGCGTTCTGGTGTATGTGACGCTCGCTTAGACTTTTGCACTGGGTGCCTCATACACGAGGAGACCGTGCTGAACCTTGTTCTTTCTCAGGTCTGCAAAAAGGGTGAGCAACCCCTGTCACTGTCTTTTCTTTCCACGAGAAACCCAACAAGAATACCAACGGGAGCGACGCAGCAGTTGCGTGATGCCCGGCGTGCCAATTACACCGATTGGCGCATTATGTACCCGCGAATTGACATTTTTAGGAACGATACTCAGGTCCCCGCCACCGACGCAGTGGAGTTGCTTTGCGATGTCATCTCCCTCCGTAAAAAGTACATCAACTTTCACGTTCGGGAGGTGGATGTGAATGTGGAGGATGTCTTCACCGACTCCAAGTTTGATGAATCCAAGTGGGAGTACAACAGTTACTACGGCGTGTTTTTGCTTTTCCGCATTGGCAAGTCTCCACCGTGGCCGAGTTTTATTCCCCCTGTGCGGGAGTTTATTCGCGATGTGGCAACTGTGCGGGAGGCGGTCATGAGCCACAGAGGCCTGCAGCACCTCGCTGAGCAGCGACTACATCTGCTCGAGCGGAAGTTCCTGCTGCATCTTTCGCTCAATGTTTCCAAGGAGGCGGGGGCGAAGGAGGAGAAGGAGTGGAACAACCGCGACTTTTTCACCGCCCACAAAGTTGACACAAATGTACAAACCGCAGCCGGCATGAATGCCCGAACACTTTTGGAGTTTTTTGTTGAAAAGGCCCTCCACCATGGCCACGATGTGGTCTTTGAGGAGGATAATCAGCCGGTAACACTGCGGCAGATGCTTGAGCGGTACCAGATTAATGCCACACGTATTACGGTCGACGAGTTGAATCACCTTATCAACTCCAATTCGCATATTCGAACGATATTTCTGGAGGTGGACAATTTGATGAAAGGGCGATACTTTGCGGAGCTGACCAAACGTACCCTGGAATTGTACCAGGAGGATGCCTTTAGTTTTTCAGAGAATCGTCTTGTTATTAGAGGAGAGTCTAAGGATGAGTGGTGGAAGTTGGCGCAATGGTTCGACCGCTACGGAATGGCAAGCTCACAGAATCGGTGGATGATTAATTTGCCACGACAATACCGCCGCCTGCGGCAAGAGGGAGCGGTACGGAACTTTGGCGAATACATCGATAACATTTTTCAGCCCCTCTGGGAGATCAGTTTGCACCCGGCAGAGGACACCAAACTTCACTACTTTCTCACACATGTGTCAGGGATGGATTGCGTGGGGGATGAGTCTAAAATTGATCTTCCACTCACCGCGACATATCCACACGATTGGGACAGTGACCTTAACCCACCATATAACTTGTATCTTTACTATTACTGGGCAAACATCACCACATTGAATGAATTTCGCGCCTCTCGCGGCTTAGGAACCTTTTCTTTTCGGCCGCAGTGTGGCGAGTCGGGCGGCGTGGAACATCTCATTGGCGGGTTTCTTCTCGCGGACGGTATCAACCACGGCGTTACACTCAGTCAAAATCCTGTTCTCGAGTATATGTATTACATTACCCAGCTAGGCGTGGCAATGTCACCGCTGAGTAACACTGCAGCGGCTTCAGCATATCTGTCGAATCCATTTCCCTTGTTTTTTCACCGTGGTCTTAACGTTAGTCTTGCGACCAACGAGCCACTTTACTTTCATTTTACTCGGGAACCGTTGATTGAGGAGTATTCCATTGCCGCAAAACTTTGGCAGTTTGAATTCAATGATCTCTCTGAGATTGCACGGAACAGCGTTACACAGAGCGGATTCCCTCCCGCATGGAAGGAAAATGCCCTGGGGAAGTTGTACTATTTGAACTCGGCTCTCGGTAATGATGTGCGAAAGAGCCGCGTCTCGGATATCCGTGTTGCGTATCGATATGAGGCATATCAATCGGAGCTTAACTTTCTTTCCGGGCAGCTTTCTGGGGGAAGGCAAATGCCGCGGGCGATGCGTCTGCTGGAAGAGGAAATTGCCATTTACGAGGAGGTCATGCGGACCAAAGTGGTGATGCCAGCCGCAGGAGACGAGGACGACGGAAGGGAGGAGATACGCAGCCCAGCGGTACGTGCAGTGCGGATAAAGGCGGAGTTGGATGCGTTGGAACGCGACATGCAGCGGATGAAGGTTCTTGCCATGCAGATGGGGAGCGAGAACCGGGGCATCGTGGAGGCTTTTCACCGCATCCGTGCGAGGCTAAAAACCGAGGGACTCACAGTGATGGGAAATCTCAATGACTGCTTTGCACCACTGGACACAAATGGCGCTGCATCCGAAACCATCAATCGGGTCTCGGAGAATTTCGTTAAGGAGGCCGCCTAAAGACAGCTGCTTCTTTTTGCCAGTGTTGTTGTTGTTGTGGTGGTGGTGGTGGCGACTTAAGCTCATGAGTGCTGATCGTGTGGAGAATTTTTTGCCTTTTTTCTCTCTCTTTGGATGTAAAAAAGAAAAAAGAAAGTTGAGGTGAAAATAAACGAAAAGAAGAAATGAGACAACGAATGAAGGGAGGGGGGGAGAGCTATGATTTTTTTTTTTTCTTTTGCGTACCCGTAAGTTGGCACGGATGTACTCTTTCACCCACGATGAGGAACGAAGCAAATTTGTCTGCGGGGGCATGGTGGGGGGAAATGAAAAAAAATTGATCCACTCTTTTTTTTTTCCTTGCACTGCTGTGGTGGTGAGTGCAGGGGTTCCGTTTGTTTATTTTGACATGTATTATCTTCTCTTTCACCACCTCATTTTTTAAGCGATTTTTTACATCCTATTGACGCGGTTATTTTTTGCCGTTCCTTCATTTATACACTTCAATACCTGGCAGCAATGGAAATGAGGGCGATCATGGGGGATTTGCTCACTGGGTGGTCTGTGAGCGGTAAGAGACCCGGGATGCTCAACAACACCGGGAATTCTTCTTCTGTGTGTAGCAGGCAAGAAACAAATTTTTTTGGATCCAACACGGCGACGAGCGCGGGGGCAACTTTAGGACGAACACGAACTTACGGTTGGCATCCCTCTCGCACATCGTCTGGTGGGAGTCGCGAGGTAGGCACTGATGATGTGGGCTCTCGCCGTGGCGAAGTGACAAGGCGCCTTCATAAGGAAAAACGCATTATGCAGCTGTATTCGCCTTATTTTATCCCCGCGAGGCGACGAGTAGTGCGAAAGAGACCAGGGAGCAGTCGCCCTGCCACTGCGACAAAATGCGGCTTAGGTCGTTTATGTAACGGTTCCGCGGTAGCTTCGCGCAGGTCTCCTAGTGGTGCCCGCAGGCAACCATCTCCAACTCCTCTACCATTTGCTCACGGTTTGGTGAAGAGTGGGGAAGTTGTTTCAAGATCCGTGTCCCCGCCTCACAAGGCGTCTGCCCGCGCATCACGCTCGCCTGGTGGGGCTTTCTTTGAAAAGCTTTTTCACGCGTCCCATTCTTTTTGTGGGAAGGATGCCGTTCTTCTAGAAGCGCGGCCTGCATCTGGCAATGGAACCATCAATTCTGCGTGTGACTACGATGCGCGAGACTGCAACGTGCACGGTGACGACACCACACCCCACCCGCTATTAGGTGAAACCCGGTCGAGTAGCTTTTCTTCCTGTAATCCTGGGCGTTTTGGTGAGAGTCCCGTTGGTAATAAGGCACTTTTTCGGCGCTATTTGATGGAGTGGGAAGCTGCCTGCGTGATGGAGGCGAGCGCATCTGAGAGGCGTCTTGTTGTGTCGAAGAAGATTCGGCAATTGAGGAAACAGATTGATGAAGCTAATAGTGCTCTTGCAGCCACCAGGGTGCGTCAGTTTTCGCTTCGGGAGCAGGTGCGATCGTTCACAGCTCTTCAGCTGGAGGTTAATCGACAGGAAAGGAAATGTAGGGAACTGCAGCGTCTGGCACAGTTGGCGAGGAAACGTATCAACGCTGCTGAATCGTTGCAGGAAAAAAAAGGCTTTCTGTTTGTTGCGGCAACTGCGCGGTGTGGTGATGGCGTGGATAGGCCATTCTCTTTGGTAAACCTTACCCATCAGAAGAGTTTACTTCAACGAGAGCGAGCTGCACTTAAGGAGGCGATTCGTGCGGCTTCTGTGGAATCGGCTGAGAAGCCGGCCCGCAGTACTCGCAATTTTCGCGTCTTATCACTAGTGCGAGACGCAGAGCGGCGGAGGCTGGAGAGTCATATCGCAATCCTGAAGGCGAGGGAACGACAACTGAGGATGCGAGTGAAGCGGTCGGTTCTGCGCGCAAGGAGTATCGTGAAACGCATTGAAGAGCTTCAAGCAACGATGGATGAGCCAAACGCGTTGTGCTGCTCTGATGAATTGGAATTTTCTGAAAGTTCGTTTTTATTACAAACCCCGAGAGACGGAAGTGACGCGGATAAACCCATCGGGAGGTGCTTTGTCACGGAGTGTCTTTTCTGACGGATTATTATTATTATTATTATTATTATTATTGTTATTTATACTTACGCTGGAAGACCGGATGAGTAGTATCATATGTAATTCTGTCTCCAGATATCTATGTATGCATTTTGGTGCTTCTGTCTACTTTTTTTTTTTTTTTCCTCACACACACTCTGTGTGCGTGTGCTTGTTATGTAGTTACAGTACGGGATCTGTTTCCTTTGGGTCTTATTTCTCATACCAGAGTCTCTGTGAGGCCTCAATTATTATTATTATTTTGGTTTTTTCTGTTTCCAATCATTTTTATAATTTCATGTTTTTTATTTTCTCTTTATTTATGTACAAGGCTGTTTACGGGGTGCTCTTTGAAGGGGGCCTTTATTTCTTAGGAATGCGAGCGGACACGACGCAGGCTTTTCTCCCTTCTGGGGAAAAGCTGTATTCCTTTCCCGAGCGAGTTGTGAAGGAGGTGAGGGGCATTGCACTAGCCGTCATTCGGTGTTTGTTTTGTCCTATTCTCAGGCGGTATTTGGCTGGCATGCACAGAAGGAGGGTTCTTCAGTTAAGGCGGGGCAGTGGGGAACTGGAGGCGAAGATGTTGCATGCACTGGAGCAGCTTTCTGCCCCTGCGCAAGTTGCCCATGCAGTGGAAATGGGTACAGAGCTGGCGCGGGTCTCATGGGTCATGAAGCAGGTCGCTGCTTCAGCAGACTACCGTGTGTTTACCCAACGTGAGTTTGTTCAGTACCTTGGGGAGCCTGGCAATGCTGTGGTTGTGTTGCTTGTTGGCAGTGTGACGAGGCGAGTAAGGATGGCAAGAGTGCGGGGTAAGTCCGTGCTCGAGAAGACAATTTTCCGTTCTTTCACTGCGCCCGGCTCCGTGGTGCAGGGCGATGAGACATCTCAAGTCAGTCGGGCGTCTTCTGCTCTCAGCTTGCGCCGCAGCAGCGTCTCCAACGTCTATTCAGAGAAACCATCACAGTGCACTGTGGTTTGTGCCCCCGCCGTGTTTGGTGAATATAACACAGTTGGGGGCTACCCATGGACGGAGTACATCGTGGCGGAGTCTCCACTTGTGGTGACGGCCTCCCTGTCGAAGAATGCATACTGTGAGATTCTTGGAGCTTTTCCAAGGCACATTCAGAAACAGGTATTACTTATGGCACTTCAGAGTCGCGAGAAACTTATCCCGCTGTTTGCCCCAATGACCGTTGGTCGCATGCGACTCTGCCCACTGCTGACGGATCTCAGCGACGAAAACGTGCTGCATCTTATGGACTATCTCGTTCCGCATGTGAAAGCCGCCGGTATGCAAATTGGTGAACTCAATGCTCCCCAACACATATTTTTCATTCGGCGTGGCACGGTTTATATTCGTCATGAAGAGTTGTTTCTGGCAGACCTGAGCTCCGCCACACAACCAAAGTGCCGAAGCTTGTTGGTAGAGGGTCATACGTTTGGCGAGCGGCAATGCATTTTCCGCGAGGCGCTGGGGGATAGTTTTTACGCTGTAACCAACGTAGACTTGTATGCGCTGCCCTTCTCTGTACTCATTCAGTTTATGAAACAGCAGCCAGACGCCCGTAAGATCATTTATGCCTCTGCGAAAGCGGCGTCGTTGGTGCTGGAAAACGATTATGAGAGGATGCGTTTTGTTCCGTCATCTGTAGAGGAAATGGGCACCGTTTTTTTGGGCTCAGCGCTGATGTCCAAGTTGTTTCATCGACGTGTCAGCATCTCCACGATCGGCTCTAGACGTATCACTCCTCTTGCTGCCTTAGCGGGGAATACAGGCAAAATGGACGGTAAAGTGGATCAAAGTGCCTGTGGGGTGTCCCCACACTTTATTGAGCAAATACGTAGGATTCCATTATTGGATCTTTGCTCACCAGATGACGCCTTTTACGCCGAGTGCGCATCACACTGGAATATGTTTTTGTACGATGCAGGGGAGTACATTGTTCGCCGTGGTGGCGAATGCAATCGTCTGCTTCTGTTCCCACAAGGAGGTGCTGCTGTTGTGTTGAATGAAAAGAACGCTTCGCAATGTCTTGTGGATTCGTCCACACCATTTTTCCGGCAAAATTTCTCACTTGTGCCACGGGAGTGCATCATTGGATACACGTGTGTTCGCAGACACCCCTGGGCACTCAGTGTCATTGCGCTGGAAAACCAGTTGGAGGTGTGGGAGATTAAGCGGGTAAAATTTTTAGAGCTTCTCCGCAAGTACCAGCTGGAGCGGAAGATGCAGGAGATTGTGCTGCAGCTTCTGCAACCGCTCATGTGCCTCCCGAGTCGCTCTACGGTTCTTGACATGCAGCCTCTTTTGGCGCCAGCGCCCAACTCTCTTTGGAGTGAGCACCGCATTCCAAACTTGCATCCCGTGAGCCTCTGCGAACATTTGCGCTTCCCCGTCTGGAAGGAAGGGGATCTCCCACTGGGTTCGTACAATTTGCAAAATCGCCGAAACACTATCTAACGCTTCTGTCGAGCGTTTTACGGGGGACGGGGCGTGGGGGGGGGGGGTCAGCGAAATTGGATGGCTGTGCTTTTCTTCCAATAGGGACGTCGGTGGCGGAGAGGATGACGCGAGAAGAGGCGAAGGACAAAACGAGATGGTGAAGTGCGAGGGGAAGGGGAAGGGGATGGGAACGAATGACGCCCGCTTGCATGCATGGAGGCTGATGGTGGTGTGTCCCCGCCCCTTCATTTTAATTGGCTGCTTTGCTTCGATCCAATGGCTTGCATGGCAAAAATAGCGAGAGTAAAAGTATTGGTTTGCAATTGCGCGTTGTATGCGTGGAGAGACACGCAGGGCTGTTCAAATCACCTCAAATAGAATTAGAGGTCATAGTGAGGCAGGGAAAGAAAAGGAAAAAAAAAAAAAAAAGCAGAGAAGAAGAAAGAGAAAAAATTGTATATTTTGTGCTGTGTGTCTCTGCAAGCGAGTGAGTGATTGGGTGGGGGAGTCGAGGCAGGAATATTGATAAAATCCAGAAAAAACAAAGTCATTAAGATAAGTTACCAGCAGACGGACTAATCGCCATCTTTCCTTTGATTTGATTTGATTTCTTTTTTTTTTTTTTTTTTCCACTTTATCTTTTTTGAGGGACGTCCGGGAATAAATGGGGTTTACTGAGAGGAATATACATGGCGTAGGTGCGGAAAGCGAGACAGAAGTAATGATATTTATTTATTTATTTGTTTATTTGTTTATTTACGCTGAGAATTGTATCGAGAAAAGCAGACGCTTAAACATTGTATGGATTCCTGATGGAAGGAAGAGGGGTGAGGGGGAAAAGGAAAAGAAATGGCTAAGCGGCTCCGCGCATTGTCTATTTGTATCTCTTTTGACTGTTTTTTATTTATTTATTTATTTATTATTATTATTTGTTTGTTGTTGTTCTTGAGATCGTCAAAATGTGAACGTAAATGAGAAAAGACGAGGACAAAAAAAATAATAATAATAAAATAAAATAAAAAAAAAAGAAAAAGGGGAAAAGAAAAATAATAATAAAATAACTGCTTCTCTGGTGACTTTCTGGGCCAACTCATTGCGGCGCTGAGTAGTTTGGCACCTTTTCCTCCTTTTATCGGCCCACCACACTGCCAGCAGTGGCGGAGGCGGCGGTAATAATGGAGCGGTCGCACTTCACGGACGACGTTCCACACGTCGTGTCTCATGAAACCCTTGACGTTTATTTCTCTCTATTTTTCTTTTTTGATTTTTTTTTTTTTAGGGGTTTTTATTTTGGGTTTTTTCCCTGCTTTTTTTTTTTGTTCTCTCGACATTGCTACAGAGGGATCTGCCTGTGCGAGAAGGGCTGCTTGTTTGTGCGAGCTGCGGCTTGGCTCTTCACGGAGCTAAAAGTAGTGGGGGATGACGCTGGCGGTTCCACAATGTCTTTTGCGGTTGCTGGAGGACTACACACTGCAGGCGCTGGACGCCGCCCACGATGTCTCTGACGAGTTTGAGGAGGAGTTGACGGACCTTACAAGTCGAGCCATACGCATTCAGGCTGTGTTGCAGCTCATTCGGGAATGTGAGAAAAGTCGTCATGCGACGTCATCTCTGGCGTCATCAAAAGCAATCATGCGGAATACTCCTGAGGCGTTCACACAGTTTGCCCTGCAGGCGTTGGGGCAGATGTCGAGCGAGCTCACCGGGATCCCCGCCACGGGTGCAAGGAAGCCCCAGTTCAATGCACCCTCGTTTGGTTTGCTGCCGATTGGCAGGCCAGTCTCTCTGTCAGAGGCGGCACTAGAGCTGTTTGCCCACAACACAAAAGTTGTTTTTAGACGGGTAGAGAAGCGCGGACGCGATGGCGACGCCGTTGAAGGCGAACACCGACAGGAGTCTTTAAAGAAAAGTGTTTTCTCGCGTCTTGCGGCTGAGCAGCGAAAAAGGCGATTGGTGTTATACACCGCACGGACGGCTCTATTCCCTCGAGCGGCGCCTTTGTCTTCACTATCGGTCGAAGACATCGAGGAGAACCTTCCGCCGTTTGTACCACCCGCCGTGAGAGAGTTTGCCGCGCTCAACATGGAGGCAGAGTGTGAGATGCTGACGGCTTTTTATCGCGTGGACGCAAAAGTCCAGCTGCTGCGGGAATTGCCCGGTCTTGGGAGCTTAGTCAGGCAGCTTCGAGAGTCGTTACGTGCCGCAGGCGTTTTGCTTCAGTGTGCGTCTGACAGTATGAATGAGGCGGGAGAGCAGCCGTGGTTTGAATTCCCTTCCGTTTCTGAGGGCGTGATTCGAATAGTCGTCAGACAATCACTTGTGCTGGATGTCACATGGGAATCTGCGCGTGGGGGACAATGGCGCCTCTTGGCTTTGCATTGGCTCTTGCGTGTCCAAACGCTTCCGGAGATCTTGCAAGTGAAAACTTTCTCCATGCACACATGTGAGAACGAGGTGGCGAAAGGGCTCTTTTTATATGGAGGGTCTCTTCGTGTTCAACCGGCACACCATGAAGCCACGTTACGTTATCTCTCCAGTTGTCTTGAAACCGGGCTGGAGAGTGGGTGTATGGGGGCCCTTCGTGTTGTGAACGCCGTGGCGATGGAGGTCATTGAAGCGCAATGCAAGGTGTTGAGGGAAAAGTTTTTTGTGGGTCCCCTTGAGTCAAATTTCATGCTTGACGTTCGTCCGGGAACGCATGTTGCCATGACAGTGCAGCTCCCGTCCACGATGGGATCGGTACACGGCGGCGCTTTGCATGTGAAGTGCAATCTTTGCATGGGCACGATTGTTGTGGAGAGGCGAAGGGGAACAGATACACAGACGATGCAGCAGACCGATTTCTACACGGACTCACTGGCACGACTCAAACATTCCCCTGTTGTGGTTGTGGACATGGAGTCTCTGTTGTGGCAGTTTGCTTTTGCGTAGTATTTCGCTGTAGTCGGTTTTTCTTTTTTTTTTTTTCTCTTATTTGTATCTTTTCTTTCCTGATGTTTTTTTTTCTTTTTTTTTCATGGTGGATGGAACGCGTGCGACATGAAGCAGAGACATGTCTGATTTTTTTTTTTTTATTTTGCTTTCTTGTCGCCGTGAAAAAGAAAAGATGTGGGAGGAGCAGGAAGAGGAATAAAGGGAAATACCTTTCTTTGTTTTTTTTTTTTTTTTTTTTTTGTGTTTGTGTGTGTTTATGTGTTTGGGCTTACAAGGGCTTCTTTTTGTTTTTATTTTAATGTTTTTTACTTTCTTGCAAGAAAGAAGGGACAGCAGGGAGGAAGTTTGTCACATAAAAGGGGAGAGGACCGACAGGGGAGATGAGTTCAGTTTTCAACACCAATGCTTTTTTGCGCCTAACTACCGATACTGTCCGACATGACATGCGGACCATGCTTCACTGGGACCCGGTGGGTAACAGGGTGCACTGTGCCATGCGGGATGCCTTTTTCCTTGTCATTGACACCCCCAGGTTTTTCACATACACACACAGTTCATATGGGGCGATGCGACGGTACATTCGACAGGCTCGCATCAACAAGGGTAAGGTGAATCCAGAGGACTTCCGTGACGTGGACACCAATGTCCTGCGGGAGTCTCTTATCCGCTATGCTCAATGGAAAGGACCACTACAGAAGATTGACTTCCGTTGGTTCTATTGGATGTATGCGCTGATGATTGGATACGTCTTGTGGCAGGGCCTTGCGCTGCAGAAGATATTAGACGAGAAGGTTGAACGCTCTGGTGTGTCATTAGAGGAACGTCGAAGAATGTTTGACGATGAGTATGAAGAGGATGTACGACCCCGGTAGAGAGAGGGTGGAAAGGAGGCATGTTGGTTTTGAAGATTTGATAGTTTTTTTTTTTTTGGCGGATATTTGTAGCTATGGTAACATTGCAGTTCCCTTCTCTTTCTTCGTTGTATGTTTATGTTTTTTTTTTTTTCTCACCCTGTGTGTGCGTGTGTGGACGGAGGAAGGGATTTCTCTTTGGTTTTCCGAAATAAGCTGTGCGAATTGTCTTTTCTTTCTTTCTCTCTTACTTTTTTTTTTGGCTGCAATTCCATGACGTGCCTTTTTTTTTTTTTTGCTTCCCTTTTTTCCTTCTTCAGGTCATCGAGGAAACAAGGAGGGAAAAAGGCCCAGAGATCAGCTTTCATCGGTTGCAATGGATGCTGCCCCGACTCTGCTGCCCCAAAAGGACAAGTATGAGCAGTTGCTGGCGAAGTACGACTGGAGCTCTCCGTTTCCACCTCGCGGTTATCAGTTTGGCGTGGGGCGTGGCGCCAAGGCCTTCTCCACATCCGCAGAGCTGAGCTCTGCCGTCGGTGCCGCCGCCGCTCCATTCCTGCTGTCGACACCAGAAACGAGCGGCCTGTTGGATGCTTTAGATCGCCTCGAGGAAAAACGTCAAAAACGCCGAAGGGATGATGCGAAGGGGGCTCGTCAGGCCGCCACCGCCCACGAAAGCAAGAAGCCAAAAACGCTTCTTTCCATGGAGGATCTTGCGACTGTTGGTAGCGGCGTGGCGGGACACTCGCTGGTGAAGCGTAAGGCGCGCACAGAGGACATGGATGTAGTTGACAATCATGTGTTTGCTGACGAGACGTCGGTGGTGACGGCGGGTGACTTACTTCGAAGTCAGACATTTACCACCAAACAAACTTTGGAAAACATCCTTGGGATGGGCTCACCCACGGAACAAACGACGTGGATTACACACTCTCGTGCATTTCGTGAGATGGGGTTGTCAAAGAAGGCGCACCAGACGTTAATAGAAGGTTGTAGACTTACAGGAAGTAAAGGACCATTGATTTGGAAGGAACGGTTAGAGCATACACAAGACCCTGCGGCTAAGCGACAGCTTCTTGAGGAAGCCGTAAAGGCCTGTTCGGGGTGCGAGGAGTTGTGGTTGCTTTTGCTAGAGCATGAGCCACCCCATGGACAACTGCACTGGCTGCAGCAAGCCGTCATGGTGTGTCCCTCGAGTGAGAAACTCTGGCTACGCGTCCTTCTCCACATTTCTGCACCACGGGATCAAAAAAAGATTATTCGCAAGGCACTTGAAGTTACCCCGAAGCTTCCCTCTCTGTGGGCAATGCTGGCACGGTTGGAGTCCTACGAGACGGGGAAGGCAATTTTTAATGCCGCTGCTGCCGAGCATCTCTCACTGCAAATTATTGTTGAAGCAGCCAAGTTTGAGGAATTTCACTTCAGTTCACGCATCAAGGAGGGAAAGCGGACGGAAGAAGGGAGTTTACAGGTGTTGGGCAATGAACGGATTCAACAATTTGTGCATCAGGCCGTGGGGAGCTTTCTGATAGTGGAAGAGGAAAAGTCACGAAGAGAGTGGCTTGAGGCGGCGCGTGCCGCTGCATTTGAGCGGTATGTCTTGACCTCAGCATACATGTATTTGTATTTTGTTTCTGACCGGAAGACAAAATCCCTTTTTGTGCCCGCCACATGGATAGAGGATATTGTGGCATTAGTACCGGACATATGGCGGACGCATGAGACAGTCTGCGCAATGTGGGCGGCAATGCTTATTCTCCACCAAATTCACGGTAAGCCTTTGTGCGGTGACACACACATAAAGGAAAAGGAGGTGGAAGTTATGACAGTCGCATTGCGATTGGCTTCGTCCGTGGCGATAGATGCCGCTCTGTCGGCGTTATTAAAGCAAATGACCTTTACTGATGCGTCCAACTTGGGGAACCAAAGCGTGGAAGAGGAAGAGGAGGAACTAGGTCGACCGGGGACGACAGAGTTGGCTCTTTCGCCGCCGAATGGAACCACTACCTCGGCCACAGCTGCCTCAAATAGTCTTCCACTACCACTGACATGTGTGTTTCTTTGCACGCTGCTGCATATGCCGTGGCTTACCACGGCAGAGATGACAATTCGCATTGCCAAAGTGTTGTATGACCGCGGGTTTTATGAGGGTGCTTCACATGTCCTGCGACTGAGCATTTCACAACACCCAACAAATTGTTTTCTTTTTCCAGCCGCAGCCAAAACACTGCTGGCAATTGGCCGTGAGGAAGAAGCCGTGGAAATGCTCTTGAGGGGGACGGAACTTGTATCGGCTGAAAGCGACATTGTATGGGTGAAGCTTGCCGTGCATCAGCGGAGCAAGCAAAAGGACATTCTGCCTCTTATTGATAAAGCCCTGTGTTTGTTTCCCAAGTCTGAGAAGTTATGGTTGCTGCGATTGGAGGCAGAAGGGGCGAGGATTAAAAGGTTGCTGGACGATGCAGCGATGCGGGGAGTCAGCACGTTGCCTTTTATCATTGAGCTGCGTCAAATCTATAGTAAGGCACTGAGTGAGGCGAACTGTCGTTTTTCCCCCACTGTGTGGTGTTACGTAGGTGAACGTTTGGAGTCCGTTTTGTTGAGCAGTGCCAGTGCTGCCCGAGCATTGCTACTTGAGGGCGTCGTCGTGTGCGGGCGAAAACAACCGAACAAAAAGGCGGAAATCCAAGCTGCCTTTGGCCTTGCGAGATGCCAAGTGGAGCGAATACATTCGGGTCGTGAAACAGCCCTGGAAGTTGTTAAGGAAACGTTACAACTACTACCAAAGAACAATGGCTCCTTTACTGTTCCTGTGGGCGAGTTGGTTTCTCTTTCCATTGACCTTGAGGCTCCGGCAGCGCGGGGCCGTGCGGCGGCACAGGCGGTGCAACATTGGCATGTGCGGGATCCACTAGTGTTTGGTTCCATTGCGAAGGTGTACCATGCGGCTGGCAAATACGACAAGGCATTGGAGCAAGCAATGAAGGCGGTGAAAATGAGTGAGGGTTCTTGTGGTGACGCCGTGGCATTGTGGCTGAAGCTTGCTTCCTTGACTGCGTACAGGCGCTTGGTGAAGGCGTTGATGTGTATAGCGGACGAGGGTGAATTATCTAACACGGAGGAGCCTATTCCCATGAGTCTTATGCTATCGTGGCTGTGGAACCAAATTGCATTGGATAGCGATGATTCGGGTAATGCCACTGATGCGGGCAGCAATAAACAGCACACGCCAAAAATCAACGGAGGCCCTTTGTGGGTACTTGTTGCCAAAATAAAGGACCCAAGCAATGTGACACTGCTCGGGTACAGAGACTCCGTCGAGTCGATGTTGCAGGAGGTGATGGACCTCATTGAATTGTGAAGCATAACATCTCCTCGGATGTGGTGAGACTGCAAAGACACTTGGCGGTGTTGTTCCTCTTCCTGCTGCTGCGATGGTTTATGAATTGAGATGTGGCTTGACCGCCAATTATTTTTTTTTTTCGATAATAAAAAATGATTTGGTGGTTGTGGTGAATGCTAAGTGTGGTAAAAACACTATGAGGGCTTATTCTTTCTTTTCTTACTCTTTGGGTGGTATGTTTGCGCAGTCTCCTTCCGTCTTCCACCATGCAAAAAAAGATGTCTGCGGAAATATCTGCAGATACATGTCGCCGTAGACGAAAAATATCCTTTTTTCCCCTTTACAATATATATATAGTCTTCTTGCCGCGTACCGGATCTAAAGTTAAAGGTGAATTGGTCGGCCGAACCTCTCACTGTGTGCAGTCGCTGGTTTTCTTAATTAATTTATTTTTTTCCATAGTTGAAAAACAAACAAAAAAAGAGAGGAAATAAGTTCTTTTTGCTGCAGTCATCCAGCACCACACTGCACGGGGGTCAAGAGGAGTTTCAGGTTGTGCTAACAGAGGGGAGGCAGCGTGAGGAAGCCGGAGCCGCGAAAGTAGCGATGAGCGAGATGCCTGAGGAATTCACGGACTCAGCAGACGAGTGGGAGGCGCCCGTGCAGAACCGTCCGGAGGTGGATGACAAGCCGCAGAGAACACAACCCCTTCTAGACAAGTTGGACGGCGAAGAGCGCGAACTTGCTGGGGAGGTGGTCCACGTGGAGTTTCACCTGCCCGACGGGAGGATTGTACGCCGTGACCATCTGATGGGGCAGACTGTCGCCTGTCTCAAGGCGCACCTGGAGGACATTGACGGCGTGCCTTACGAAGGGACAACACTTTTTCTTGGAGACCGCCCGCTCCTTGACCCGTTGTCGCTGAACGATTTGCCCTTCAAGGGCGGGGAGTGTAATGAAGTCACGGTGCGCATTGCGGAGTAAAGCCACGCGTATACGAGTGTAAATATTTCTTCCTTTCTCGGTACAGTAATTTTATTGCTGCCGCCGCTGTTGTTGTGATTGCTTTATGGGGATTGGCTGTGAATCGGGCAAAACATTTTCCCCTCTCCATTTTCCCTATTTTTAATCTTAATGGGCGGATTATATACATATATCCTTTTTTTCCTTGTTGTGTTTTTCTCATCTTTCTCTCCATGCTCCTTTTTAGACTATGTGTGTGTGTGTGTCTGTGTGTGCAGCCGTGAGTGATGGCGATGATGACTGGCCGTATGCTGCTTGTGTGTGCCCTCTGCGTGCTGTGGTGGTGTTTATCTGGAATTGCGGCCGACGGTGCTGATGTTATCTATGGTACGCTTGGCTACGGAGGAAATGCGCGGAGGAGGTGAGCTGAATGACAGGAGGCAGGGCGAATGCCTCCGCCGCTGAGGGATATGTGCGTCAGGTGATGGAGAGTTTGCATGCCGTTGTGGATGGAATTTTTTGTTGGAGGTGTCAACGGATTGCTGCTGCTCTTGACATTGCTGAGGATGAAAAACCCGCCGCCGTGACAGTGCTCCATCGAGTAGCGGCGTGGAGGACTTTGCGCTGCGAGGCGACTGTGCTTCCTCCTGCGTGGCCTGCACTCAGCACTGGATGCCAAATAGAAAACCATCCATTTCAATGGGTCCCTTTCTCCATATGCATGTGCTGTGCCCACTCCGTTTGACTTTGTGTTTGAAATTTGTTGTATTGCCAATGCACACAGCTCTTCTTGTGTTGGTTGCCGATGTGGGGCCACCGTATGGTCGTATGGCATTGCTTGTGTGCTTGTTAGGTTTCCTGAGACGCACATACATACACAAAAAGCGGTGCGAGTGAAATGTGCGCACACAAGGCACACACACGCATATCCAAGCACATTGTCTGTGTGAATTCTACTTGACATGGTATGCGGGGCGGGTTGGTGCGAGCAAGGCCGACGGAAGCTGGCAGCCGCGTGAGCCCAGCAATGGGGTTTGTGCTTGTGTGCGGGATCATATGTTCCATCAGATGCTTGACGCCGTTCATGGATTGTCCAAAGTTTTTTTTTGCGATGCCCATGCTAATTCTGCGCTGAGCAGGTCACTGCGTCTTCATGACCTCATAGAGCACGGCGTGACGCTGCTCGAGGACCCCATGACGCCGCGGCAGCCGGTTATCAGCAGCCCTGCGCGCTACTTTTTTGTCGTGGAGGATGCGTCTGTGAGCCGCGTGGTTGAGGATTGGATGGCAAAGGTCCCGCACAGGGATGCACACATCTTTTCGCTGGGGTGCACCCCGCATCGCCACCCTCAGCAACTGGTGCGGGCTCGGATAGCGCCGAGGGCGATGCGTTCCAAGGACATTATGTTAGACTTCGCCGCCCCTGAGGTGCTGGTGTTCCACCTCAGCATGCAGAATGGGTTCCCTCAGCTGCTGTCGCCGCCGACTCGAGAGTCCGTTTTGAACGTTGTGGATGTTGCGGCGTCACGTCCTGTGGCGGCTTTTCACGCCATGAAAAACAGTGTGCCCGGCATTCGCCACCAAAACAGTGGCAGCATCTGCCATGGGGTTGCCAGGACCTTTTTTGAGGGCTTTCCAAGCTCTGCTACGACGAGCCGGATTTCACTTAGTGGCGCCGACAGCCGCGGCAACCCGGTGCGGATCATCGTTGATTGGGGCTGTGCCACGGTGACGCCGCTGATGCACCAACGCAAATGTCAGTTTCTGCTTGATGACCTGATGCCGCTGCAGAATAACTTGTATGAGCAGACCTGTAGGAATCGTCTGGGTGAGGGCTCGAAGCGGCAGTAATTGATGAGGAAGATGTGTACCGGCGCTCGTACCGTCATTGATTCCTTGCGCAGTGCGTGGAGGAGCTTTCGGCGGCGCTGAAAAACCCCACGCGTATCACCCGGGATTGGCGCAGGACGTGGAGCCGAAGGCCAATCTTGCGGAGTTGGGCAGTGCGGTGCGGGCTCCGCCGGAGTTTCGGGAGAGGCAAGCCAGACTATCGCTGCACATCGATTTTTGCGCGAGGCTTGTGGCACAGTACCGGGAGAAGCGACTGGCGGAGGTGCGGGGGGTGGAACAAGACATCGCCGTTGGGCACAAACTCCTCAGGAAATAACTGGGTGGCGTGCGGCGCCTGACGAGGGATGCCGCGATGCCCCGGCCAGTGCGTCTGCGTCTCCTCCTGTTGTTTGTGACTGCGAGCAGCACCGACGAGTTGAAGGAGGCCAAGAAGCAGCAGCTGATCCGAGACGGTGGACTGACGCCCGACGCCCATTTGTTTGCGAACCTTGAGCATTTGACGAGGAGGGCCGGGAACGTGCAACGATACAGCACTGCGTCGGCGCAGGGCGGACGGAGCACGAGTGATTCTACGGGCAACGCCGCGACGGACGGGGATCCGTTTCTGAATCAGGCCTGCCTGATGATGGAGACGGCGGGCAGGAATAGGACGCTGCGGGTTGGGATGTCGTTGGCATCGGTGCAGCGCGATCATGTGATAGGGCCAAATGGTGCGAGTGGTGGCCAAAACAGTGGAGCAGCCGGAAATAACGCCGGGCCATTTCAAGGGTGTGGTGGCAAGTGGGAGAATCATCCTGATCTGGGTGGCGGTGGCGGTGGCGAGACGATTGCCCTCACAACTCCTCAGCGCATAGTGCTGCCTGTTTTGGGTGGTGTGGCCTGCAGCGGGAGGCGCTCGGTCCATGAGATATCCAAAAGGTATGGCCGTGAGGTTGTCATTGGGGAGCCTCGATGCCGCGTCCTGAGGTGTGTTTGTGCAGGGACTTGGCATCCTACGGCACTGTGACTCACGGGCGAGACACGCACAGGAACGCATCGAGGGCCACAGAGTGGTAAATATACAAACACACATAATTGCGGGTGTCTGTGGGGATTGTGTGCGCTTGCGTCTGCATTTCCATTTCTCTCCACGAAGCGTTTCATACGATGCGTGTGTGTGTTTCAACGGCCGCGCTGCTCGCCTTTTGCCTTTGTTTTTTTGCGTATGCGTTTGCGGGCCATTTCCATGCAACTAAGAAGGCGGATAAAAAAGGAAAGACATTCGTGGAGCATGCAACCACGGCTTCAGTGTTCATCCACTGGTGCTGACTTTTTTTGCCAGTGCATTTGTGCACGCTTTTCCGCCATTGTCTATTTTTTTTGTACAGGAAGCAACGGGTGGGCATTCGTGAGTGCTGCGGCGGGATTTTGTTGCCCTCGCCGGGATGCGCTTAACGGCGGCAGCTCCACGAATTTGTGCACTGAAGGAATGGGACTTTCTCCGGATTCTCACCGCAGGCGCATGCCGTGGACGGCCGAAAAGGAGTGTGTGACCGGTGTTGTTCGTAGCTCCAAGGAAAAGATGGTGTTGGATGGTGCACGACGAGTGGATGTGGATTGCGTTGACCATGCATCGCAGGTGTATCCGCTGGAGGCATTGCGGGCGGCTGTGGCCACATGCGAGTACAATACATTTAGAGGAAAGAACATTTTTAATTGGTCTCTCAGGTGGAATCCAATGTACTCAGGCAATGGGTTTACTGGAAGGAGTGGCAGGAGGGGACGCACGACGAGGACGCCACCCGCACCGCCATTCATTTCCGCCGCCGCGAGACCACAACGCAGCCCGCGCCAATACGTCTTGCGGATTTTCCGGGGTGGCATGCGCTGGTCTGTTTGCCGCCACTGTTCCCCCATCCCCGAGCGTCGGTGCAGACGTCCTTGTCGATGCACGTTTCTGTCGCTTTAGGACACACCCATTGATTGATGCGGCCGACACCCCAGCCCATTGCTTGTGCTTCTGGCATGACTGCTGCACCGCCCCAGCAGCTGGTGCAGTGGGACTGGGGACGAGAACACGGCAGACCAATTTCAGTCAGATGTTGCTGGCAGCCCTGTCAGCGTCTCGCCGACTCCAACGACCTACCCACACCACCAGCGAGCACAGAAATCGACGGGACAGGGAAGGCATCAACGGAGTTCCAGGGCACCAGTTGTCCTCCGAAATCATTCGCAGCCAAACAACCAGCATAACTTACAACAGCATCATTCACCAGCAATGAAAAAGGAACAACGGCCACCGCCGACAGCGACAGCACCACCGCGGTCTCCACACCAATTCCCATCCTTTGCGTCTTATTGTCACGTATGCGTGCTGCTGCTGCTGCTGCGGTGGTGACCAGGCCTGCACGAAGTGGAGTGCGCTGAATATGAACGAGTGCCAAAGGCAACTGAACTGTTATCGTGATGGATATTGGCTGCACTTCCCGTGGATCAACAATTCGCGTGGTGTGCGGGGATCTCCTTTTTTAATTGTTACTTTGCTTTTTTGTTGCTGTGTGCACTGCTCCTCCTCTTGTGTGTGTGCGTACCCTCCGTGAGGGGTGCCGACACGACGGACCGCTCTCGCCGTATTTACATGCGGTGGAGCCTTGTGTGCAGCCCTGCTGGTCTCTCCCTCTTCCATCTCTGTATATATATATGTGTGTGTGTGTGCCTGTTGCCGTGGATTGGAGTGTGTGTCGTGCGTGGTGTGCGGCGTACGGTGCATGCCTGGCTGCTGCCCTCTCCTCATGTGGTGTGCCCTCTGTGTGTGTCTGCCGCACCTCTCGTCTCCCCTGTTGCTCTCCATGTCCCTCACTGTGTAGATAAGCTCCACACCACCGAACGACCACACTCACGATGATGACGTGCCGTCTGCTGTGCGCCCTGTTGGTGCTCGCCCTGTGCTGCTGCTTATCCGTTTGCGTGACAGCGAATGCTAATGGTAAAGAATCCGAGACAACAACGACGACTACAACGACAAAGGCGCCAAATACGACTACAACCACGACGACAAAGGCACCAACGACGACTACAACCACGACAACGACAGAGGCGCCAACGACGGCTACAACCACGACGACAGAGGCACCAACGACGACAGAGGCGCCAACTATTACGACGACAGAGGCGCCAACCACGAAGACCACCCACGCACCGTCACGTATTCGCAAAATTGACGGCAGCTTCGGCAACGCTGCGTGGGTGTGTGCTCCGCTTGTGCTTGCCGTATCCGCGCTGGCGTACACCACTCTGGGCTGAGGAGGTGTGCGTGGGCTGTGCGTGCCAGCACTCAAAGCCACTGGGACATGTGTACGTCTCTTGTGGTCCGATGTATAAAGTAAGAGTAATTATTATGATTGTTTTTTGCTTTGTTTGCTTCTGCTGCCGTGCTGTGTGCTCCGCGTTGCTTCCCAGCTCCGTCACGTTGCAAGCATCGCGGGCACACTCATATGCATGCGTACTGAAGCTTTGGGCGTTTTTCTTCCTTTTTAAAAAGTCTTTTTTTATTATTGCAACTTTTTCTTTTCAGGGCGTTGTGCTTTTTTTGTCCTTGTGCTGGTTCCATCTGCGTCGTGGTGTGTGCTGCTGCTGCGGTGCTGCTGCGGTGCTGCCGTTTGTTATTGTGCGTTGGCTGTGCGTGGTGTAGCGGCCGCTTCTCTCTTTGTTCTCTCCCATGCTCTTGCAGGTTGACTTCACAGTGTCGGGCAGCTCCACCGTTCGTGATGATGCTGGCCGTGTGTGCTGCGTCCTGTTGACGCTCGCGCTGATGTGCTCCGGCTTGCGTGTTTGTGCGACGGAGTATTTGGTGCTGGTGGAGGCATCGTGGGGATGTGGCGTTCCAACGTGACGCTGCTGTGTTGCTGGCGGACGTGCATGTGGCCGGTGTGTTTGGAGGTTTATGGCGATGCGTACCCATCTGGGGAGGAGGATGTTTGCTGGTGCGATGACATTTGATGCTGGCATGATGGAGGGTGCGCTGTTCCCACTTGGTTTCCTTTCCTGTTGGTCGTTGGTGCCGGCTTCTCTCCGCCACCCTTCCCCCGTTTTGTGTGCGTTGGAGGTTGTTGTGTGGGGCACACCCGCTTTTTGCGTTGCTGTCACACCAGCATCGTCGCAGCACCGTCTGTTTGTGGAGCTCTTCTGTGTTTCTTTTGTGGGCTCGTTGTGTGGCCCCTGCCCGTGGTGGATTGTGGGGGGCAAGTGGTGCCGTTGGCGGTCGAGGGAAGGAGAGGACGGCGAAGCAACTAGCGAACAAACACCTATTATTTTTCTTTCACTCGCGGCGTGGTTGTTGGTCCGTTGTTCCCTTCGTGCTGTGTGCGAGCGGAACAAAATAAAATAACTATTTGCGCGGCGTGTCGATCCTTTTGCCGCGCGCACTATCCTCCGCGACGGGCGGCCGCAGCCGGCGCCTGGCGCACCGCTGGACAGGGATCCGTTGCAAGGCTTTGAGACGGAGGCGCAGCAGAGTGGTGCTTGGAATTGTCTTATGGGAAAGAAGAGGCGGCCACAACCGAGTCGCGGCCAATTGTGAAGAGGAATCCCTCTCCCGCAGTTGCCGCTGCTGCAACAAAGGCGGCGGAGGCATGCTCAGCGACGCCAGCAGAAGGTGGTGGCGTATTGTGCAGCAACTGGGAGGAGCCGCGCCAGCGAGAGGCGGGGAGGACATACGACAGTCAGACGGCCACGCAAGAGGCGAGGGGGAAGCCGCCATCCGAGGCTCTTGAAGAGAAGAAGGGTGGCGCAGCCCCTCGGTGGGAGCAGCAGGAAGTGCAGGAAGGGATCGCTGCAAAAACAAAAGGTGCGCTACGGGTGTGTGGGACGTGGAAGGAGTATAGGGATGCAAATAGTGGCTGCCACTATTACGTCAACACGGAGACCAAGCAACGTACATGGAAGATCAAGGAGACGCCCTTTGCAAACGAGTGATTGATGGAATGCTTGTATATGAGGCCGACGGGGCATCATGCGACTTACGCTGACGCTCTTGTTTTGGTCACAGCTCCTAGTAATATAAGGGAGCGGAGAGAAGACAAAGAAAAAGACGATGTGTGACTTTTGTCTTCTTATCATTATTATTGTTTCACCTCTGTTCCCCATTGGGGGGTGCGTCTCCTTGTTTCTTTTTTTTGCATCAAAACAGCCACCACGTTGGGGTTCTGGCTTGAGGAAGCGGCGCGCAAAGGAGCGAGCATAAATTGGCGATGCACACCTGCAGTTCCTGGAGCCGTACGTCCGTTGCAGAGGTTCGCTTCGCTTTGCTGTAACTGTGATGCCGACGCTTCACCCTCAAGTGCGTGGGTGCGTCTCCGTCAACATGCATCTCTCTTCATTTTCTCCTCTGCTCCACCGCAAAGCAAAGAAGCTAGGCGTCGTACAATCTATTCACAACAACAACAGCCAATAATGACTACGTGCCGTCTGCTGTGCGCCCTGTTGGTGCTCGCCCTGTGCTGCTGCTTATCCGTGTGCGTGACAGCGAATGCTAATTCTTCCAGTAACACAACTACAACCACGACAACGACAAAGGCGCCAACGACGACCACAACCACGACAACAAAGGCGCCAACGACGACCACAACCACGACAACAAAGGCACCAACTACGACTACAACCACGACAACAAAGGCACCAAATACGACCACAACCACGACAACAAAGGCGCCAACGACGACTACAACCACGACGACAGAGGCGCCAACTATTACGACGACAGAGGCGCCAACCACGAAGACCACCCACGCACCGTCACGTATTCGCAAAATTGACGGCAGCTTCGGCAACGCTGCGTGGGTGTGTGCTCCGCTTGTGCTTGCCGTATCCGCGCTGGCGTACACCACTCTGGGCTGAGGAGGTGTGCGTGGGCTGTGCGTGCCAGCACTCAAAGCCACTGGGACATGTGTACGTCTCTTGTGGTCCGATGTATAAAGTAAGAGTAATTATTATGATTGTTTTTTGCTTTGTTTGCTTCTGCTGCCGTGCTGTGTGCTCCGCGTTGCTTCCCAGCTCCGTCACGTTGCAAGCATCGCGGGCACACTCATATGCATGCGTACTGAAGCTTTGGGCGTTTTTCTTCCTTTTTAAAAAGTCTTTTTTTATTATTGCAACTTTTTCTTTTCAGGGCGTTGTGCTTTTTTTGTCCTTGTGCTGGTTCCATCTGCGTCGTGGTGTGTGCTGCTGCTGCGGTGCTGCTGCTGCGGTGCTGCCGTTTGTTATTGTGCGTTGGCTGTGCGTGGTGTAGCGGCCGCTTCTCTCTTTGTTCTCTCCCATGCTCTTGCAGGTTGACTTCACAGTGTCGGGCAGCTCCACCGTTCGTGATGATGCTGGCCGTGTGTGCTGCGTCCTGTTGACGCTCGCGCTGATGTGCTCCGGCTTGCGTGTTTGTGCGACGGAGTATTTGGTGCTGGTGGAGGCATCGTGGGGATGTGGCGTTCCAACGTGACGCTGCTGTGTTGCTGGCGGACGTGCATGTGGCCGGTGTGTTTGGAGGTTTATGGCGATGCGTACCCATCTGGGGAGGAGGATGTTTGCTGGTGCGATGACATTTGATGCTGGCATGATGGAGGGTGCGCTGTTCCCACTTGGTTTCCTTTCCTGTTGGTCGTTGGTGCCGGCTTCTCTCCGCCACCCTTCCCCCGTTTTGTGTGCGTTGGAGGTTGTTGTGTGGGGCACACCCGCTTTTTGCGTTGCTGTCACACCAGCATCGTCGCAGCACCGTCTGTTTGTGGAGCTCTTCTGTGTTTCTTTTGTGGGCTCGTTGTGTGGCCCCTGCCCGTGGTGGATTGTGGGGGGCAAGTGGTGCCGTTGGCGGTCGAGGGAAGGAGAGGACGGCGAAGCAACTAGCGAACAAACACCTATTATTTTTCTTTCACTCGCGGCGTGGTTGTTGGTCCGTTGTTCCCTTCGTGCTGTGTGGGAGCGGAACAAAATAAAATAACTATTTGCGCGGCGTGTCGATCTCTTTGCCGCACGGTACCACCGGCGCGAGGCTCGAGGCGGGATTCTGCGTACGGGGGGGAAAATGCCTTGAATCTTAGTCACCGCGGAATCTGCGGCCCTTCGGCCGTGAGGGCAGCGTCGTGCTGAGGTAATACGGGAATGGCATGCCCATTGGGGCGGGACTGAGGAAAGAGCTGCTGTTGACGAGGCGCCCGGCGTAGATGCAAGGCTTCGAGGGGGCGACGATGAGTCACCGGGAGCACTTTCTGCTGGTCGATCCGGATTTTGAGAGTGACGCCGTGATCCTTGGCAGCACACAAGAAGCGCTTGGGGGGGAATGTCATGAAGCTGAGGGAAGCCATGAGTACCTGCACCAGGTGGGAGTGCACCGACAATGTCTACTACTACGGCACCACTGCGCTGAGGGCTCTCATGGCGTGGGCGCTGATGGGGTGCGTGCAGCAGCACACGAACCGAAGCTGCTCACGGGGCACTACGATGACTTTTTTGGAGGTAATGGAGGAGACGGCGAGCTTACCTGGGGAGAATCTTAATCGCGACATGCAGAAAACGCGGGGCGAGCCGCAGTCACAACGGCCCGATTTCCCACCGGTCGTGGGGGCCGCTCGATGTGGGGAGCGCCGCCTGCTTGATGCTGAGGCAACGCGGATGGCGGTGCCACTTGCGTTCACTGTGATTAACAGAAACGGCAATGGCAAGAGCATTT